CAGACACAGGCGCTCCAACTGACTTTGGTAGCTTTACTGGCCAGCGAGAGCATGGTTTCCAGATCTACTAGAAAACCTAGGAAGCCCAGTAATCAAGCTTCCAGATTGGCCGAACCTACTGATACATCCGCACACCAAGCAAGTCCATGGGAACCCAGCAGTGTTCCAGCTACACGTGTGGACCGTATCAAAATGTGTTTGAAGAAAAGAGGATACTCCGCCAGAGCAGCCAAAGCAGTAACACTGGCGTTACGCAGATCGACTCGCAACTTATACGACGATAAATGGCTGAAGTTTGAAACTTACGCAAGGCGGAAAGGCTTCACAGCGGTAATAGCTACGCATCCTCAAGTGGCGGAATATCTATGTCATCTGAGACAGACTAGACATCTAAAAGGTTCGACTCTATCGACTTACCTGGCCGCTATCAGTACAGTGATTACCATGAAAACAGGCATCAAGTTGAAAGTACCAGAATTACTTGCCCTACTGGGATCATTCAAGTTGGAAAATCAACAAAAGAAATTCAGAGCCCCAGCCTGGGACCTGAATGTAATTCTCTGTCATCTTACCAGTGATGTCTACGAACCACTAGACCAGATCACGATCGAGCTGCTAACACAGAAAACGCTGTTCCTGCTAGCGTTAGCCACTGCAGCTCGCATATCTGAGATACATGCGCTGGACTACGGTCGAACGACGTTCGACAGAGGGCATAATAATACAGTTCATCTAGGACTTAGATGGGACTTTATTGCCAAGAATCAACTACCTGGTCAACCAGATAGACAATTCCATGTACCAGCGCTGTCTACAGTCCTCGGCCCACAAGATATAGAGGACTTATCCTTGTGCCCAGTCAGAGCCTTGAAGATATATCTTCAAAAGACTAAGACGAGGAGAAGGAAATTCAAGCGCCTATTCATCCCATTATCAACTGAGACGTCAACTGAAGTCTCAAGAACGACCATATCGTTCTGGATGAGAGCCGTTATATTGAGAGCCTACAAAGCAGCAGGACTAGAACCTCCTAGAGCTTCCAACCCACACGAAGTGAGAGCACTGGCGTCAACACTAGCTCTACACGGAAATTGCTCTATACCGACAATAATAGAGGGCTGCTTCTGGAAGTCGGACACGGTGTTTGCCAACCACTACCTCCGAGACATAGCCACTGAAGATGTCTCAGGCATTCACCAATTTGGGCCTCTCGTTGTAGCACAGCAACTAACGGTTCCTCAAAGGCGCTGAGTTGAAATCTCACCCTTTATCACGTTGACTTGTAGATGACTTTTACTAGGAAAAAGTATTAGTTTGAAAGTCCATGCGCACAGTCTAAGACAGACTAGCATGAGTGATTAAGATCCTGTGCGGGTAATGACCTTACCTGCACATAAAGGGGTTGCAACTCATTTATGATAAAGACCTTATCATAATCCATGGGTTGTTATAAGATATCTAGTACAGGAGAATACTAGTTTATCTAAAACCACATGAATCAGCATGATTCAACTTGTCTGAGATTGAAGTAAGACAAGAAGTGGTCCCCCCGAGTTACTACGCAAGTTGGAAGAATAGGACCACGGAAATGCCGTTTGCAGTTCCCATGGGGGGGATACAGGACGTATCTAAGGACAGCTGTTGAATCCAGTGGCTTGACCCACCACCTATTCCGACGGATTCTATAAGCAAAAGATCATGAGTCAGGATAAGGAAAAATATGTAAGTTTTTAAGTAAAATTGATATTTTATACTTATCCTGACTCATGACGAACAAGCCCTCCCAACCTCCCTGTTGAAGACACTTGCGATTTGACAGCAGATCCAAGTGCATGGGCGAAAATTATAAGGAGAGAGTGACAAGTCTGGGCACGTCACATGGTACGTTTGCGCGGGAAAGAGGAAGGGAGGTAACTCGTGGGTGAGGATTGTACGTCCGCTTCGGGAACTTCAAGGGATTCAATGTTCCACTACCATTCGAAAGGGAAAGGGAGATAAGCAAAAGATCATGAGTCAGGATAAGTATAAAATATCAATTTTACTTAAAAAGTTACATTTTCATAAATGAAGCTTTACAGAGGCTTTTGTTGGACTTGATCTCGTACTGCAATTGTGTATACTACTAGCCTGATTCTTGGGTATGATTATCCCCATAGCACATATTGTGGGGTTATTAGAATGGACACTGTCTGTCAGTCTGAGATGTCGTTTCTGGTGCAGACCTTTGAAACTATACTCAGCAGCAAAAGAAACGTCAGTTTTGATTTTCCTACGCAGAAATCATAACTGTAAACTCATTTAATGTTTTGATTGTATATTTTTGACAACATCTCCATGTTTTTCATGTATGTGCTGTTCACAAGAACCAGCCCTATAAAATGCACCCCCAAACCTGGTTGAAACATTCACATTACAACATCAGCAGGATGCCGCGACTCACGACAGCTCAGAGGAACCAGGCACTAGGAAGACTTGAAGCTAGCCACACTGCCCAAGCTGTTGCTAATCACTTCCAGGTCAACGTTCGGACCATCTACAGGCTGCAGCAAAGTTTCCGGGCCACCAACACCACAAATGATCGCCCCCGTACTGGCAGACCAAGGGTGACCACAAGATGACAAGACTGCCATGTTGTGCGACAGCATGTACAGAATCCCTTCATGCAGGCATGCGAAACAAGCATGCCAGACAGTGGGAAGACATGAAAGACCAGTCAGTACCGATACAGTATGCCGGCATCTTAACAGCGGGAACCTCCATTGCCATAGACCTTACCATGGACCTATCCTCACCCCTCGTCATCAGCGTGAACCTCTACAGTTTGCCCTACAACACCAAAACAGGCGATACAGGCAATGGAGAACTGTTCTGTTCACAGATGAGAGTCGGTACTGCGTTATCAACTGCAGATGGCAGAACAAGAATATGACGACGCCGTGGCCAGCGTTACTCAGACCAATGTGTTATGGAAAGAGACTCATGGGGAGGTGCAAGCATCATGGTATGGGGTGGAATAGGCCTGAACCAGAGAGTGGGCCCTGTGGTGTTCCAGAACCTTGGTCCAGGGAGGAGGTGGCATCACAGCGGTGCGCTACATCGACCAAGCTCTCAGACCCCATGTCATACCACATTTCGCACGTCACCGGACAATGCCCGGATAATGCCCCGGGCGCATACTGCCAGAGCTACATGGGACTTCCTACAGCAGAATGGTGTCAACATTATGCAGTGGCCAGCCCTTAGTCCTGATTGAAACCCAATTGAACATCTTTGGGATGAAATTCAGAGGAGACTGAATAATGTCATACCAAAGACGAACACAGACGATTTATTGCACCAGGCCTTTCTCAGAGTGTGGTTCCAGGTGCCAATGTCCTTCATCAATCGATTGGTGCACTCCATGTATAGACTGGAACATTACATGATGTGATGCAGTTATTGCAGCTCGTGGTGGTAAAAAAATGTGGTCACACTAGATGCTGAAGTCAAGAGTCTGAAAGGACTGCAAACGTTCCGTAATGTCTTGGAATTGATGTGTCAGGATATTGTACACACAAAATTTTTTTGATCCGCTTATTATATCCATTTCTGTAATGATTTGATTACAGTGTCTATCTTATTTTGAATATGTACTGATGGTTTTGTTTGCTGCTGAGTATACATTATTTCTTCACCAAAGTTAGCTCATAGATAGGTCTCGTAGTGAAATGGTGCTCTTTTGATAATTTGGATATTTTTAAAGATATATATTTCAATTATGTCAATAATTTTGACATAGTCTGGAAAATGCAGTTGTGCATTCATCCTGAAACGTTCATTTTTATTCTCTGATGTCAGACCTTTATGCCCTTTTGAAGTCTTTGTAGGACTCCTATTTGATAGTTAATATTTTCTTCCATATTATTCATTATTATATTATATCAACCAACAGAACTCTTATTTGCCCTAGGCAGGGAGCTTGTGATTTTGAATTTTACCTTGATTTGACCTCAGTATCAATATAATGTCAAATATGTGCTCATATGACTGTGATATGATAAAGCCTAAGGGTGGGAATGTAACCGGAAGTAATGTCATCAGTATTCTCAGAACTGAAAGTGACATTATTTCATGATACCTCATGTGAATTCTGGCTATGATGAAATAGAAGTAGGGCATCTGAAGACATTATCAAACAATCGTTATCATTGTTCTTGTAAAACTACAGCCTTTATTACATCAGGAATTTGTAACTCTCACTCAGGCATATATCTTCTTGTTGTTGATCAGTGCTATTTGATTGAAAATAACAGTAGCTTCCCCACTTTGTACAGTTTCATTTGCAGAGGAGGATAGAGCTTTCCTCACAACTATTGGGCATGTTGTCAATTCCAAGAAATTTAGTTGAAAATGTTAAACATTTTTTAGTGTGATTGGCAGCCTCAACAGAAATTGTGACATTACAAGAAGTATACTTAGAATTATGCATAATCTATTGTTTGATGTTTGCAAGTATCTTTACAAAATCTAAATAAAATTTAAATGTTTTTGAAAGGCCAGGATCAACCAACATTTCAGGAAATGCCTGCTACAATATATTCACTATATTATATGTATAAATGTGACTTAGTAAGTGTTGGATCTAATCCATAGAGATCCAAGTTAGAATTTGTCTTAGCAAACCATGCTTGTCGTTAGAGGTGACAATTGAGATCAGTTGGTCAATTTCTGCTGACTTCATTTTCCTATCACGTTGATTGATATTCATGATGTCAATCGTATGTTTGTTTGAGACTTGATCATTTGCAGACAGCTGTCTAGGAAATCACTGAGCGGTGCAGTGTTGAACATCAAAGAAACAAGTGTTGGATCTTTGACATTGTCAATACAGGTCTTGAAGCAATGATTTCATGCTTGAAGGGCATGGTGATAGGTTAAGATTTTGCTGGCTCTGAGAAAGTATTGTTTCAGTGCTAATTCTTATGAACATGTCTAGTTAATTATTTGTTGTAATGTTTCAGATGGAGAGTGGGAATCACTTGAGATATCATCGTATTCCAGCCCTCCAGAGCTGCCTGATGTGATGAAGCCCCAGGATTCCTCTTCCTCACATGCCCAAGAACAATCAGCATCTTAGACTAGTTTCTCATTCACTATTCACTTCTTACCATCTTGGAACTTCTCACCACTAAACTGCCCTTTTGTGTATTGCTGCACCAAGGCTGCAGATAATGATAATCCAAACAATCAAGAATAAACTGTTCAATCTTAGTAAAAGTGTGACAGTAACAAGCAGACTATTGTTGAAGCATCAGTTACACAACAATTAAATGTTGAATGTTCTTACTCAAGTTCACCTTCCTTGAATCACAAATTATATTTTACTGGAAAACGTCGGTAGATATTTTAATTTGTTAAGTGTAACATGTCTTTTCATTGTGTAGCATATATCAGCTAAACTGTGTTAAACAGCTTATATTTTGCGATTTGTTTTATCATCTGGTAAAGTGAAAGAAGAGGTAATTTCGTGTGTCCTGTGATGATATCCTGTTTCATGTTAGGCCATTGACTTGAAGTGGTTTTTACCTCATTTGATAAGCATAACTGAGGCCTGTTAATACTTTTATGACATTCAAAAGTTCAGCAGCGTCAGACTCCTAGGAAAACTGTTGCAATGAATTTGGACTGTTATACATTTAAAAAATGTCAGAAACTACTACAATTTGTCAAAGTTAATGAACTGAACAAAAATTATTGCACTAGGTAGTCTTTTTTTGTAAGGAATAAATCTAATAAAATATGTGTAAATAGAAACTCATGGTTTGTTTGTTTGGGGTACCAGGCTGGGTGTATTGCCAATTTCCCTCACACCATTGATCCATACGGATGATGAAGATGAGCTGGATATTTTCAGTCAGGTCAGCTTTCGGTGTCAACAGTCTACCTATTTTGGAAGGAGCTCCCTCATGTGTAGCCTGTCTGGCGAGAGGGACTGTACTGCTGGCACAAAATGGATCCCAGCAGTGTCAGCAAAATACTGATTTGTGGGACTTTAAACCATTTGGGACAATCATTGTTATGACTCATCCTCCCCGTATCCCTTCACAGCCCAAATGGGGGCGGTGGCGTAGCCTAGTGGTTAAAGCATTCGCTCGTCACACCGAAGACCCCGGGTTCGATTCCCCACATGGGTACAATGTGTAAAGTCCATATCTGGTGTCCCCTGCCGTGATATTGCTAAAAGCAGCATAAAACTAAAACTCACTCACAGCCCAAATAGCTGTGAAATTGATCATGAGTTCACCAGCGCACATCAGCCTAGAGGTTCCTAGAGGGTACTACCACATCATTGTGCATTTAGACTCTTCTGTGGTTAAGACCTGTGGCATATTCTCAAAACAGAAAGTATATACTTAATTCAAACATAATTATGGACTATAATGCATCATAGTGACACCATTTGGAAACCATCCCATTTCTTATATTCATTCGAAATTCTGTGGGTAATATACACTGCACAGTCTCATTGAAGTAATCAAATAAAAAAAATCACCAAAATAATATCCTGATAAGACCATGGGCAATAAGTCCAAGAAATGTCTGTAGATTCAAAGGGATTCATCTGGACGCTTCCGATACTGCCATCCTATACAACCCTAATTCCAAACACATCTATTAGCCCATGCTACCTTATATTAATCTCAATTATTATTTCAAATACATTTATTGTTGATATTCATAATTATACTTAAAGGCAAAAAATATTTTGACACACAAACAACAAACAATGAGTGTTAAGACTTTTACTGACGCGAATAACGTTATAACATGGAAGGACAAATGTTTCAAGGGATGATAACAATCAGCAGCTCGAAGTGCACCTACAAATGAGCCACAACACACGAGGGAGTTGACAAGCTAGTTCAGTTGCGAATGTGTCCACCTTTCGCGTGAATGTCAGGCCGGCACCTTTTCTTCCTTAAGGCCATTAAGCGTTCATGGAAGTCCCGGGGAAAATCATAACATATTCGAGGAAGGATTTAGCGGAGTTCACATGATCACAATGTCACCTTTCCTTGGTGCAGCTGTTGGTCAGTTTACCCTGGATCTATGCAACTATGGTATGGTTCATTATCTAACGGATTTGTCAGTGAAACATGGGACCAGCTGCTTTGTAGGGTATTTCCGCATGGTGGTCAAAGCCATCAATTGACTTCCACCTAAATACATACGAACACAACCTGGCAGCCATCCCAGATATGATCCAGCATGTGATCCAGTGGGTGTCTTACGACTTTAGGATTAGGGTTGGGATCTGGGCCCCGTTTCACAAAGCTCTCGTAGCGCTACAACTATCGTAAGTCAGTGTTACACTATAGGGGGGTAGGAGTGAGTGAGTTAATATTTAACGTCACATCGGCAATATTTCAGCCATATCGTGACGAGAACATTTTACATGGAAATGGAATATGTATATATTATAAAACCTGTCATCAAAGGACAGTAAAACAACTAGAATATCACAATTAGATTTAAAACTAGTGTGGAAGGTTAAAACTAATAGCACTATTAGGACAATACAAGATAAAAACAGGCTATAGATCGCCAACCACTGAAGGTCGATCACCATACTAGGGACCATGGGGACTTACGGTACCTTTGCTACCTGCATGGACCCTAGCTGGATTTACACCATCCCTTCAGCCATTGGCGTTTATACTGAGATTTAGCCATACATTAAAATGACAAAAATACTACGATTAAAAACCTGGTAGACTTAAATTTACTTGAAATGTTTTGGGACTTACGTACCCTCTCAGGAGGACAATAATTTTACAATGCTTCAACCCCCTTTGAGGGTACAGCCACTAACAATCGAAGTTGATAATCTAAACAACCAATTATAAAACCTTATCTATTTACAAAGCATATCAAAATTCATTTAATAAATCTATCTCTTTTAAAAACACAATGATTAAATGAAAATTAACAGTATTCAAAAGGCCCTTTACTGTTTTGATATTGAAATATTTATCCCTTATGATGGAGAATTCAACACAGTCAAGCAAGATATACTTGACAGTGACTCTCTCATCACAAGGGATACAAAACGGAGGATCCTCGCCTTTCAATAGATATACATGAGTATATCTTGTGTGGCCAATGCGACATCGTCCCATGATGACCTCTTCAAATCTGGACCGACAACCCAAATAGGTGTAACCGATATAGGGTTTTTATTCAATGTAATTTGTTAAAACCTACTTGTGTGTCCCACTTCTTTTGCATCAGATCATGGATGTAGGTTCTAATGCTAGCTTTGTAATCAGAGTATGGAATACGAAGTGGTGTCACAGATTTGTTGAGTGCTGCCTTGGCAGCAATATCGGCCATTGTATTCCCAGAAATACCAACATGGCTGGGTAACCAACAAAAGACGATGTCGCATTGGCCAGTAGCAACATCATTATACAATTCGATTATTTCAATTAAAAGTGGATGTTTACAAGAGAGACTTTTTATGGTTTACATTTGGAGTGTCTATTAATATATTTAAGAGCTGTTAGTATTGCGTTTGCTTCTGCTGTGAAGATAGAGCTATTATCTGGCAATCGAGACGATATTGTTCTGGATCCAATGACAGTAGCACAAGCTACTGCGCCACCATCCTTGGACCCATCTGTAAATAAGGATTTGTATGTATTATATTTAGTTTTTAATTGATTATATTCTTGCCTATATTGGAATTCATTAGTTTCGGATTTTTAAAAGCTGTCAGTGTTAGGTCAACCTGTGGCCTCACCAATTGCCAAGGAGGAGAAGAAAGAAGACGGAAAGGAGCTATATTGTGTAGCTCAATGCCAGCAGCAGAAAGGAAAGGCTTGACTCTTAGTCCCAGAGGCGGAACAAGAGAAGACTTTTTGTTGTACAGATCCTCATAAAGAGGGTTGAAAACACAGTGGAAAGCAGGGTTAGACTCGTTAGAATATAGTTTGGTAATATATTGTAAAGATAGTTTTATACGGCGTTGTGCAAGAGAAGGCTCATCTGCCTCGACGTAGAGACTGTCAACAGGAGAAGTTCTAAAGGATCCAAGACAAAGTCTTAGACCTTGATGGTGGACAGAATCTAAAAGTTTTAGGTTGCTTTTGCAGGCTCTACCATATACGATGGAGCCATAATCAAGTTTAGAACGGACTAATGATCGATAAAGTTTAAGGAGGGTAGCCTGATCCCCTCCCCACTTAGAATTGGAAACGACTTTCAATAAGTCAAGTGCCTTCAGGCATTTAGTTTTAAGGGATTTAATATGCAGAAGAAAAGTTAAATGGGAGTCAAAAATTCGGCCCAAGAACTTGGCCTCCTTTACAACTTTGATGGAAGTGCCATTTAAAGATAGTTCAGGGTCCTTATGAGGCTTATATTTTCTACAGAAATGTATGCAATTAGTTTTTGATTTAGAAAATTTAAAGCCTTTTTGAAGACACCATTTATTTATTTTGATTAAACACAACTGTAGTTGCCGTTCAATAGTATGCATATTCTTACCACGACAAGAAATGTTAAAATCATCCACAAAAAGTGAGCCATCGATAGAATCATTTAAAACCTTGGATAAACTGTTGATCTTAATGCTAAACAATGTGACAGACAAAATACTGCCTTGTGGTACACCCATTCTCTTCCCACAGAGGTTACTTGTCATATCTTCCTACGAACCTCTGTTCTAATACGGCCATATTTCCCGGTTCTCGTAAACTTCCCTAGCGGCAAAAGATCGCAACACGAATTATCTCCCTTCTTTCTATCCAATCAGAACACGTGTTACATCGACTTAGATTCAACTTGACTAACACAAGCAAATGTGGGGCCACAAATATCCCCCCATCTGCCGGGGACTTGTGTTGATATTACACACAAGACGTTTAATGGCTAGCTTGTCCGTTGTCAACAAGGGCGATGGAGACGCCACTGATCCGCCATAACATGACTGAGTTCTGTCTAGAAGAAACGTTTGCGCATCGCGCAGGGGAAGAGGTTTAGTTTTCTCGAAGCATACGGAAATTACCGAGGCCTTGCGAATGATCACTTTTGAAACAACGTCGCTGATTGCACAACTAAATCTGATTGCCTCCAATCACGAGTCTTGAACGCTCACACCATGAAAGGGCCGTATTAGAACAGAGGTTACGTAGGAAGATATGACAGGAGTAACCTCTGTTGGAAGAGAATGTGGTACACCCTGATCCTGATTATAATGGTCAGACAGGGTTGAACCCACTCGGACTTGAAATTGCCTGTCGGTTAAAAACTGTGATATAAAAAGAGGTAAACGACCCCTTAAACCAAAATCATGTAAATCCTTTAAAATGCCATGCTTCCAGGTGGTATCGTATGCTTTCTCGAGATCAAAGAATATCGATACTGCATGTTGTTTATTTACTATTGCATTTTTGACAAAGGGTTCTAATCGTACCAAATGATCAATGGTACTACGATTTTTCCTGAAACCACATTGAATATTTGTTAAGAGGTTATTGGTTTCAAGATACCATGTTAACCTATTGTTTATCATTCGTTCCATGGTTTTACAAACACAACTCGTTAAAGAGATTGGTCTATAATTAGACGGATCTGTATGATCCCGACCAGGTTTTGGAATTGGGACTACAATGGCATTACGCCATGAAGTTGGGAAATTCCCTGAAGTCCATATGGAATCAAAAATATTTGGAAGAGTTCCCAAACATGATTCAGGTAAATGCTTCAAGAGCTGATAGTGAATATTATCAGCTCCTGTTGCTGTATCATGA